GTCACCATTATTTGACTCTTTTCAATATATTTTCCACACACTTAGCCCTTGCGGCCTAACCTTAGTATCACTATCACACACATCACAGATACATGACCAAATATACTTCCCTTAGGAACCCTTTGTCATGAGATCTTAACACGACGTTGAAACATGCCTTGTCATGTCAAAATCACTCATCAATCATCATTGCATCACGAAGTATGAAGTGCTTAGCCTCCATGCCTAAAGTACCTAGATACTTTCATTATTGAGTCAACTAGGATAGTCTAAGATGTTACAATCCTTGTACTGTGAGAGACGACGTTAACGAATTAAGCTCATTTAACATGACCCTTCAAAAACTTAGCTTCTTTCTTTTTTCGCGTCTTTCTTTTTCGGGAGAAAGTCGGTACCCTCTACAAAAATGACGGAAAATTTTTGCTTTTCTGCATTTCGAGTCATGTACATATCGAGTGTCATGAGTCAACACTACGCACACACGAGTCACATCGACTCGAGTTAACCTCGAGTCAGTCAATCATAGTGAGTCAAGTTTATACCTTAAGTCATGTCAATTCAATGAGTCAAGCAACACTAAGTCATTAGGTCAACCCTAAAGAAAGATAAGCAAAGTCCTATAGTAAAAGATGTAAATGCAGGTGCATCCAAGCAAGCGAGGACATTCCCGGATTTTTTTCGAAAAAAAGCCGCGAATATGACACGGGACAAGGTAAGAGGAGTTACATAGATCAGTAAATTAGAGATGAAGAGCTTTAATTTACAAAAGATTTGAGCGGATTTGGTTGAAAGGAAACGATCAGGCTCAAATTTCGGAGCAAAACCAAGCAACAACGGCAGCAAGAAAAGAATAGGGAAGACTCGACGCAGCGCCAGACGACAAGGCTATTGCCTAGCTACAACATCTGTCGTCTGGCCACAAAGTTCAGCGCCTGGCGCTAGATCCTAGCTTTTGGCGACAGAGCCAATTCTTGGTGCCAGCGATATTTCAGCAGCGACATAGCTCGAAGCCTCTCATAATGGTTATTTCGACCTCATATAGCAATTTCGGGTTCCTTGATATGCCAGTTAGCCCCTATAAGCAAATTGACATGATTAGTAGTCGGCTCGGTTACAATCGTAGTAAGTGATTGACCTGACAAAAAATCGTCTCACTTAGCCTAAGCGCCTAAAACACTGGCTCATTACAAGCACCAATGTATCAGTTTAAAAACAAGCACTTAAAAGACAATATTTCCAAATATGGGTTGTCGCGCATTCTTCTTGAACGACAATTTTTCCAAAATTGGATCGTCATCTCCAACTGACAATATTTCCAAAATATGGATTGTCGCGCATCTTCTTCAAACGACAATTTTTCCAAAAATTGGATTGTCATCCTCAACGACAATTTTTCCAAGATTGGATTGTCATCTCTGGATAAGTTTCCAAGCGTGGATTGTCGTGCTCCTTCTCTGTTTGACAATTTATTCTAAAGTTCAGATTTTCATCGCTGGCAAGTTTTCCGAGATAGGATTGTCATACACCCAGTTCCCTATGGAAAAATTTCCCAAATGATTGTTGTAGGACTCTATTCATCATAGATTTCGGCAAAGGTTCCTCAACGTGGATTGTCATTCATTTCAGCAAGTGGCAAATTTTCCCGAAGTGGATTGTCGATCGACTCTTTTTTTGGCAAATGTTCCAAGACGCGGATTGTCAATTGTGGCAATATTTTCAAAAAAAGGATTATCGCATAGCGTTGGAAAATTTCCAAGGTGGAATGTTTCGAGAGTTATATTCAAAGATGTGGATTGTCGATCGTACCAAAGTTCTTATGACAGATTGTTACGACGCATTGGCAACTTTTCCCAAAAAATTGGATTTTGGGAAATTTTCCAAGATACGAATTGTCGCTTGATCGTAGCAACATTTCCAAGGATGGATTGTTACAAAGCATTGACAACTTTCCCTAAATCGGATTGTCATGCATCATACAAGAGTTGTGTTGGCAACTATTCCCAAAGAAAAGAGGATTGTCATCACAGCAAAAGCACCTACGGTTCACAAGCAGCAAAGCGCCGATGTACTGGCATAGCAGCATTAAGGATCAACAAGAAGTGATCTTTTCGAAGACTAGGCAGTTACAGGTGTAGCTGTCTTTCGGCGGTATTCTCTAGCTTGCGGAAGATCGTCACAACCAATCGGTTACCTCCAGAGACGTGTGCTCGACGGTGCAAGATACGTGTTTCTTAACTCTTTTATCTGTTTAACTAACGCTAGTTTGCAGGTATCGGTGTTACCAGAGTGGTTTAGGATCGCAGAACGTTATGAATCATTCTCCGTCCCTATCGATACTTTGACTATCGTTTTTGAAACTTGTGTTTCTCCAAACTTAGTCAAAGTGGGGGCTTCTGTAGACACCCATTTGTATCTCCCCAAAACAAAACCCAGTTATGAATACCTTTCATGTCATTTAATTATCGAACGAAGAAAAAGTGTGAAAAGTCTAATGATGAGGATGTTTTTATTAAAATATATTTTCTTTCTGTTTTTGAAAATATTTCATTTCTTACCCTATTTTTGAAAAACGTGCATTCTGGTTTATTTTGTTCAATGATAAGGGTCCAATAATATTGTATTTTTATAGGGATTGAAAAGACCTTTCCAACGATATATTATAATCCCAATTCCGATGAATAATGAGGAAGTTATGGCTAAAATACTAAACTATACCCAAACCGGATTTTACCTACGACCCAATGATCATGTGGAGGGTCCAAAAGTCTAATCCTATTCCTAAACTAATTAGGATTAATTAGAAGCTTCTATAAGTTTCTAAAAGATCTTAATTATCCTTTTTGAAAAGATAAGATTAAAGAATTTGAGTTAAATAAAAACTTTCCTTTTCTTAAATCCTAATTTAATTCGAATTTAAAGATGTTCAAAGACAGTTAGATATTATTTTCGTTCCTCATAATCTTTATCAAAATCTTATATGGTTGTATAGATCTTGAAATTTTCTTTCCAATGATATATTATAATATTAATTCCGAGCTATAACGAAAAAGATATGAATGAGATACAAAACTCTATCCAAAACTGACACCGTTCTACTATTTCAGCCATATCTTTTTATCTCTGATTCTTATTGGGTTGAAAATTAGACTTCAAGAGCTTTCCAACGACATATTATATGCCTTATTTGGACTTCTAGATCAAAAGATATGATAAAAACAAAATCCGCAAAATCTGCTGTCCATCGAGTTTTATTTCGATTCGAATTCGGATTCTTTTCTTATTCTTCGACCCTCTTTTTTCTCTATAAATAGAGGTCATATCTCCCCTTTTTCAATCACCAACTCTTATCAAGAATTTATTGATTCTCTCTCCCTCTTTCTAGCCTAGCCTTTTACAAACAAAATTCCTCATACATTAGCACTAGACACACCTAGCCAAGTTCGAAGTTTTCTTCGCCCTAGACGTGAAAGATTTTAATTTCTGAGGGTTTGGTCCCAAATCTCTTTTTTAATTACTTAATTTAATTGTTTATTTCATATTTTTCTTGAAGTTACTAACGTGTGTATTTTGTTATTAGAAAGAGATACGAGGCATCCAAGTAAGTGCTTTTAATTGATTTATTGATATTATGATATAGAAATCATGTCTAGGTTGTTATTATGATTCCTAGTGTCATGCTAGGGTGTTTTGATCTTCCTAGTATCATGTGTAGGGTAATAAATATAATTTCTATTATCAAATATGACAATTGTGTTTTCTGCGATGCCTTTTATTTTCTCTTCCTAATCTCATGTTAATATCATGTTAGGGCTATATATTTTATCTTTAATGTTTAGTGACATGCTAGGGTTTGTTATTAATCTTGTAAGTATCATGCCTAGGATCTTGCTATTATTATGCTTTAACATTATTATGATTATTTTTATGATTTATGATTATAATTGTTATAATTATTATTATTATGATTATAATTGTTATGATGATTATTATTATGTTGCTTCATATATATTTATTGTTATTGCTTGATCTCGCCTTTTATGCATGCTTAAAGGAAATTTGTACTTGTAATCACGCTTAATAAGATAATTAATAATCTTGTTTAAGGTTAATTTGATTATATTTCAAGTGATCGCCAATAATAGTTTTTTTTGTGCATTAATATTCAACCAACATAGAGAAACGGGTTTAGGGTTAAACCTAATGATTGCATGTTAGTCAGAAAGCGCACATGAATACGATCAGAATAAAGTAGAGGCTTATTATTAGGGTAGGTTTAATCTCTTTTAGGTTGGATTTGTACCTTCATCCCCGAACTACCAGTCATGGTTCCAGACCTATTGGAGTTGACGATCTCTTGGATCGTTAAGGGGTGTAACCTTCACCTCGTGAACGGTTTACAAGTTCCTAAAACTTGTTGGCGACTCTTTTGCTCTATCTTCTTTCCCTTTGGACGCCACCGTACTTAAGTGTATGATTATAGCTAGTGGGGTTCGAGCTAGGGTAATGCTTGAAATATTCCCTACAATACCCTAGCCTTTTCTACACAATTTCCGTGTTTTCTCAACGCTTCAAAGCGTCGGTAAAGTAACTACCGACACTTTGTAAAGTGTCGAAATTTCGCATGTCGGAAATTCCAAGACACTTCGTTGTGTCAATAATATCAATGTTTTAAAGCATCTATACTTCACATTCTGACACTTTAAAGTGTCATTATTTTTTAGAGGAATAAGTTTATTTTTTTCCCGCCTTACATTTTTGACATTCTAAAGTGTCGGAAATACCTGTTTCTTGAAAAAAGCGGGAAGTATTTAGATACTAAAAAGCGTCGAGATTAATTTTGGTGATTTTTTACAGGAATTAATGGACGCATCAAGGTGTCGAGATTTTCTCTATTTTATCTATTTCAACTCTTTCAAGCGTCACCTTATATTAAATAATTTATAGGACCATATGTATCCTACTAGTTGTCAAAAATAAATTCTATTTGCACTCACATAATATAATAAATAAGTAAAAGTTAAACAATAAGAAAAGTAGTACTACATATCTCATTCTATAAATAACAAAACCACAATCTCCGACAATCCATACATAAACTTAAAATTCGTTCATCATCATAATAACATAATCATAAATTCCGATAATGCTAAAATTCTAAACAAGAAATTAAGTTCAATGTCGATCTCCATTTGTAACAATGGTCAACCAAAAGAAAACAGATTCCTATTCCATAATGTATGTTGTATTGTTTCCCATATTCAATGAGGTAAATATATGTGCTATTTTTCCATGCCCAATCAAGTAGAAAGATCCAAGTCATCTACATCCTCGTCTTCATCTTCATCATCACCTCCATTTGATTCTTCCATATTCTGTGGAAAAAAAGACATCAATTAATATGTTGTGCAATTTATTTGAGCCATATAATACAAAAACTAAAATGAGATTCCTATTCCATAACAAATAAACCTACGGTTTACTATTTTAAAGGTGCACTTTAATCCATGTACACCTTACCAGTTACCACTGTTTTTTTAGATACCAAGGAAATTAATTAATTAATAATAACAGCAGTACAACCAAAAGAGCCAAAATCCCAGATTAGCTCCACTAATCTGCTAGCTCCAACATTAGTCCAAGAAAAAGCAAAATAGAGAACATTAGTTTTTAGGATAGTACTTAGGATACTACTACATAACATAGATAAATAAACTGGACAATCGAGAGAACAGCTTCCCAAAGGCTACTAGAACCAGTCAAAGGTTAAGCAGTATATATATAATTTATAAACAAAAAAATGTTACATATTTTTACAAAAAGGGATGCTGACCTGAGCATGTATGGAGCGTAATGCTGTCGAAGTAGCATCTAACATTTCATTAGAGACATTACCGCTTCGCACTGCATCCAACACGTTAGTCATCTGTGTTGTCAGTCTCATTAAGAGGTATGTGGTATGCCTCTTATACCTTGCAAAATCAGCTTTCATAATTTGGTCATTGCTACTATTATAAGAAGTGCCCCTTTTTTCCGCAATAATGCATGAACTCCAAACCGTCATTATGATTTACCCCAAATCCATAACCGAATGGTCTTTGGTTTTTTTTATCCTTATCATACATCAAATCATTGAAGACTTCGTTCTCTATAACTTCTTGAGGCTTCGGAGTTGATGAATTTGAAGCACTTGAATCAATCCTTTTTTTGCCATGTCCTGCATGGAAGTATATAGTCACACACATGTAAAGTGTATAATTACAAGGTTGGCAAGTAATTAAAATATAATATGAAATAAGTTAGGAAATAATACAATGAATTCTGCAGTATTTGTGTTGTTAGGATAGCATCCATTCTTTGGTTGATGAGTTTTATCAAAAAACTCATAAGCACCGGGCTCTCTTCCATGCTCAATCTCCTTCATAAGCGAATTCATCATTCAATTAATTTATTTTAAAATCACAAAAACAGATTAATATTTATGAATAAAGTGTCGGCAAATGCATCGGTCATACAAATTCGTCTCTTGAATTAGCAAAGCTCGTAGCACCATTAGTATGTAGATATCCCAAAGAAGCACGTGCTTCTCTTCCGATTTCAGAATAATTCTAACATTATCATAACAAAAGTAAGTTCATGTCATTAAATCAACAACCATTCAATTAAATTAACAAAATGAATTTAAATCGGAAAGCAAAAATGTAAAACAGAGATTGTAACAGAGTACCTTGCTCTTATTCGAAAACCAATATTCGACCAACAGAAGCCAATTCTCACGAACAATTCCACCTGGCCTATCTTTTTCAATTTGTGTTCTGGTTCGTATTGTGGGATTGAAATATTTAGCTTTGAGCTCAAACTTCCACTGCCTACGATGCTTACCCACGTGCTTAAGCATTGCATCATCATAGATTTTACCATCTGGAATGATGAATTTTTCCTACAAAAATTCATATATTTTTTGGATATAATAATATTATAAAATATATGTACACGTCAAGGAATAAACTGAATGAAAAATATAATTAAAACCACTTACACAAATCAAATTAACAATATCACCTAGCATTGTTTTATTCACATTTTGCCAATTTACATCTCTTATAGGACAAATATCATCTTTCTTTGCGATACTTGAAATGAATTTTACAAGAATTGATCCGCCCTTTCTAATTGGTTGGCAAAATCCGTTGAATGTAACTTCAAATCTGACTCCTTTTTCAAGAAACCACACATCATGTGGTTGTATAGAACCACTCCATAACTGCACATTTCCTTCAGAATCTACAACTCAAGCATTTAAGAATAATACATATATAAATAAGTTGTTTGAATAAAGTACTTATAAAATACTATAATAAAGTTGGTCTTAATGCCATTGTTGTTAGCTTAACTCATATTTCAGCCAAATATACAACACAAACACCACCGCAGTTCAGAATAAAGAACTACATGCTACACATACAGAGCAAAGATATCACATACGGTCATTTCCAGAACTAAATTGAATAAGAAAAGGGGAGAAGTACATGTATTATTTTAAAAAAAAAATCATGATATGTCTGAAAACAAAGACTCGTGTAAGGTATCTTACCAATAGCACAAACATCCTCTCTTTCATCAAAGTTAACACCATCACTCCAATCTTGGGCTTCGTCAATAGAAGAGTTCCCATTTACAGGAATGGAGCGCTTCTTTCTCTTGGCATTCCTTCTTGAACCTCCACCATTTCTACACGCTTCATTCCCATTGTCATTGTAAGAGTTTTCACCAAAATTCATTTGAGATGCATTGGAATTATTAAGCTCATCAGAAGTGACTGTATAAGCAACACTTGTTCCCTGACCTGTTCCTTGACTTGTTCCCTGACCTGCTCCTTGACTTGTTCCCTGGTCTGCTCCTTGACCTGTACTCTGACCTGCTCTCTGACCTTGATCATTACCATAATTGCTCATGATTCTTTTGCTACGAAACATATTCAGCTGCTACACATAAACTTGTTAATTTTCATGAAAAAATAAAAGTTTCAAGCTACACATAGCAAATAAACTTGTCTAATAATAAACAAAACTCAAAATAAAATGGTAAATTAAATCTGAGATTTTAGTTCATACATGTAATACCAACATTCAAAATGGAAACAGTAATTACACATCAATTATTCATCTCCCATTTCAAAAAAAAATCCCTAGGCTTAGATTCTCATCTTCAACATAAAAAACCTGTTTCGCTTGAGATGAAAAAATAAAAGGATCATCTTTCATTAATCGTCCACTATGCATCAACTTTGAAAAGTTGATAGAAATACCCCCATTCTTATATTTCTTCAATCCCTTACTAATGTCTGCCCAATCACACCGAAACACCACAACCTTATAAGTCCCATAATAACTTAATTCATATATTTTCCTGACTTTTCCATAGTAAAACTGGCCATCTGCCTCAACCATAACTCCTGAATTTTGTGTCCTGCGGTAGCGTTCATGGTCTACAGTCGGAAACTTGTAGCCATTGATTACAAAGCCTTTATACTCTGTAGTACGATCATATAAACCACTTGCTAAAGCTTTCCTTAGCTTCCCTTGCTCACTACCGCTATCTATGTTATGTACCTGAAATGACAAGATAACTAATAAAGTAAGCAAAAAAAATTAATGAATAATGTCTCATTTTAACAGAAGTCTATATATAACAACCTGGGTTCTAAGCCAATCAGAGAAATCTTTTATAATCCAATCATACTCTATTATTGTGTCACTTCATACTCCTCTAAATCGATTCTCACAACGCTTCTGGCGTAAGAACTCAATGTAAAATATCAAAACACTTGAATTAATAGAAACAACAACCATACAAATAAAAGACAGAAAAATATATTAAGGAACTTAACTTAATACTTACTCACAAAATTCAGCCATCTCATCAGAATGAAGTAAAACGTAGCGATGTGCTTGCTCTAGACTTTTAGTATCTAAACGAGCAATTTTCTTCACCCCAATGAATCGACCACCAGAATTAAATAAATAAGCACTTGTATCCAGAATATGATTGTCATTTCTCTTCAGCCTATAAAATAATGTCTCAATTTCTTCTAAGTATCTTGAACAAAAGTTAATCGTCTCTTCTAAATGGTATCCTTCTGCAATTGACCCTTCTGGTTACGCTTTGTTACTCACAAATGATTTCAAATGGGCCAAGTACCTACCAAATACAGTTTAAAGCAAAGAAATATAAATAATACCTAAAAACTCATAACAGCACTAATAACATAGAAGCAATAATTAATACCTAATATTGACTGTTATACTTCACACAGTACAACACTAATAACATAGAAGCAATAATTAATACCTAAAAACTCATATTTGAAGTTGCATGTGTAAATATTAAAACTATATTACAGCACTAGTGGGTCACAATCTCAATTCACTATTATAATAAACCTAGTACCAAAGTTTCAAATTTTAATCAAAGGAAATTCTGATCTTAGACAGAAAATTTATATCAATAGATTATTTTTACTTTTATTTAAGTAAAATGAAGAAGATATAAGAAAGTTCCTAACAAAAACCCAGAAAATCTTGAAATTCCTAACAAAAACCCGAACAGAAGGAAAGCCCCAATTACATTAGAGAAAATCCCACGAAAATAATAAGAATAGAAAGTTATTGTAGCAATTGTAGTCAAGAAAAACACATGAATTGCAGGTAGAAAATACAAAGAAAAATCAAAGTCACATCAAACAACGAACGATTTCAAAAGGATTATAACAAATTGGAGCCCAGAAAATTATCATTTATTAAGACGAAAACGAGAAAAATTAGAGTTCTTACCTCTTAATCTACAATTGATTCTTGAGTTTCCGCCAAAGAAATCACCCATTAACCATGAATCAATCTTCAATAGCTAGGTATTTGAAAATTTTGAGTGTGCAAGAATTTTGAGAATTTTTGTTTCAATGGCTTACTGTTTCCACTTTAGAATAGAACCCTATAACTTCCTCGTTGTAGCTTAGGTTGATTTGCTTTTTTTATTTTTTTTTTTAATTTCTTTTTCACTTTTTTAATAGACAGATATGTATGCTGCCCTATATTTTGGTAAAATTGGAGAGGCGCCAAACAAAAATTTAGAGCCCGCTTTTTATGTTTGGCATGATTTAGTGGGATAATTTAGCGATGCTATAAAGTGTAGAATAATGTTCGAAATTATAAGGGAAAAAAATAACAACAGCGACAGTTTATTAAGTGTAGGAATAGTAAGGAATTTGTAATAGTGTTATATTTCCTCATCCTCACTTCCAATTGTCATACTAAGATATTTTTTTTTTTTGAACATATTTTCTCTCTCCTCCTTTGATTTATATTCTTTGTCTACCTCATTTCTTTATGCTAGGAATCAAAGAACATCCATGTCCATGCCCAATCTTTATTTGTTTTAACATATTTTTTGTTTTAACCATTGAATTTTGATATTATCGTTTTTCAACCTCTATATTCTTTGAAAACCTAAATTAAAATTTTCAACAATCATTTTACAATTTTTTCTCTCTCCTCTTTTTTTTTTAAAGATTATTTTTTGTTTCCCTCATTGAAAATTTTTTATCTTTCCGTTTTCTACCTCTATATTACTAAAAGCTCTAAAATTTTCAAAAATGGGGGAAAAGTCTACCTTCTCTCTCCACTTTAATATACTTTCTTGTATTTTGTTAGAAAAAATGGAGATTTGCTAATTTTATTTTATTTTTTAACCAATTTTGGTGATTCTGCAGTAAAATTAGCAAATGTGATGTTAATTGTTCCATAATCATTATCTTCATATTGTAACAAAAAATGTTCATAAGAAAAAGCAAGTATGTTCGTATTTAAAAAAAGCTACATGTTCAATTTCAAATAGTTTTATGTTCATTTTCATATAATTTGATTTCACATAGCTCAATATTTAATTTATGAAAGTAACAACATTATTTTGTTTATTTAATTAATTGGACTCTTTTAATGCTCGACAGTTTGTATTCTGTAATAGTGTTATATGAAGTATTTATTTAAACTGTTGTCAAAAAAAAAATATATATATATACTTCATATATTCAAATTACTAAAAAAAACCTATGTTCAATTAAATACTACCAAGCATAAATTATGAAAGTATAATCTGCACATTTTAGCCACTCCATTTTGTATGTTCATAATTTACACTATCAATGTTCATATTCTTTGTAATCGCGTTCATTTTCAATATAATACATGACCTACAAACTTTCGATATTCTTTACTTTCATTTTTAATTAAAATTTACTTTTATATGTGCTCATGTTCATATAAGTTGTCTTTCTGTTCATAATTAATTGAAATATATGTTCATTTTATAATGTTCATAATTACTTAATCCAACATATGTTCAAAAATCTAACTCAAATGTTCATAAGAAACATAGAACATGTTCAGATATCTTACAAAATCAAAATTTATTACATAAATCAGAATTAAAATAAAGGAAAAATTGAAACTAATTGTAGGCATCGCTCGAAGTGCGCCTACGTTAAAGCATGTTGTGAATATGCTTGGCACTCATAGGAAGTGGGAATTGACATAATACGATTAGGGACAAGGAAAGTAAGGAGCCGCCAACAAGTTTTTAAGGAACTTGTAAACCGTTCACGGATCATAAAAGGCAACCACGAATAAAGGGACAACGATAGGCAACAACGATAGATTGACCCGTGAAGGTTACACCCCATTCATAATCCATGAGATGTAACACCCCAATAATTCTCTCTTAAAAACCTGTGAATAACCTGTGTATAACCTGAACAATTTCAAGAGAATTACTGGCGTGCTACCGCCACGTGTTCAAACATTAAGGCTTTTTTCAGAAAATAGAAGCGAAAAAACTAAATCAAGTATATAAGTTTCAAAACCAATAACCAAAACCAAATCAACTCTTACAACTTGGAACCCTTAAGGCCTTTATTCAAACCTTAAATCAATAGAAATAGTATGAAAGTAAAGTTGAGTTTAAATAACTTTAAAAGTAATTGACAATAAAAATAAGAAAAGTAACTAACTCTCCACTCAAGATCCCACCATCTAGAAACGGATGTTGCACGTGTAAGAACCTGTGGTTAATCTTCTCCCCAATATTACAAGTGTAAAAATTGGATCGTCACAGGGTCATTGAAAGGCGAAGGCCATGACCAAAGAAAGACACACACAAAAGCACGCAATCAGCAAAGCTGAGTACATACAAGCTACTAGATAGATTAAGAAATCCCTAACATGCTACTAATAATCAATCATCATGCATCATTAAACTATAGACTCAACACATGACTCAATTATCAGTTCTTATTAAGACTTCACTAGTTGATAGTTGCTAACTCAGCTCATTTCAATTTATTCATTTCATTGGATTTAGCAATAGACAAGGTTGTCCAACCCATGCTCCATTTGGAACATCAATAAAAGAAAAACCCCATTGTAGACACCCATTTGTGTCTCCCCAAAACCAAACCCGGTGATGAGTACCTTTCACGTCGAATCATAATCGAATGAAGTGAAAGTGTAGAAAGTTTAGTGTTGCGGATAGTTTTAATTTCTTTTCTTTTCTCTCTGTTTTTGAAAATCTATTTTAAGAAAATAGTTAATCCAGTTTGGTTGGTCTATGATATGGGTCCAATAGTAGTGTAATTGGATAGGGATTGAAAAGAGCTTTCCAACGATATATTATAAGCCCAATTCCGATGAATATTGAGGAAGTTATGGCCAGATTACTAAACTGGGCCCGGTTTGAACCTTATATGCGGTCCAATGATCTAGAGGAGGGCCTAATATGGATTTATCATTCCTAATGAAATTAGGAATGGTTTTAGTCTTCTAGATTCTTCTAGAAGGTTCTTTTCATTCCTAATTCAATTAACATTGATAAATTGACTTTTGTTGACTTTTAGAGTTTTAATCAGAATAAAAGAATGTTTTTGTGGAAAATACGATTTTATCCTCCTGTACGGTTAATTTCTATCTGATTTTAGAAAACGCGTTAAAAACTTGGTTAGCGCCTAACGCCAGCATTAGCGCCTAGCGCTAAGCTTGGCGCCTGGCGCTAGCATTAGCGTTTGGCGCTAATGTCAGCGTCTGGAGCTAACTCTGTTTTTTCACGTCAGAACTCTAGTTTGATTTTCTATCTTTTTGGCTGATTTTATTCTCTATAAATAGCCTCCTAAAAACTCCGTTTTGAATCATCTACAATCATCAACTCTCTAGTTTTCAATTCTCTTCTCTCTCTAAGCTAAAGTTTCTCTCTTTCTCTTTTCTAAACCAACCCTTTTGCAAACAAAATTCCGCATTCACAGGACCTAGATACACCTAGCATTATTCGAAGTTCCTTCTCCCTAGACGTGAAAGGTTTTAATTTCTGAGGGTTTGGTCCCAAATCTCTCTTTCAATTATTTAATTTAATTGTTTGTTTATTATTTTTCTTGAAATTACTAACGTGTGTATTTTGTTATTAGAAAGAGGTACGAGGCATTCAAGTAAGTACTTTGATTGTTTGCATTGATATTATGATATAGAAATCATGTCTAGGTTGTTATTATGATTCCTAGTATCATGTTAGGATGCTTGATGTTTTGAATGACAACAATGATTCCTAGTATTATGTTTAGGGAAAAGGTTATAATTTCAAATATGCTTATTATTATTTCTATGATGCTTCCTATTTTCTTTCCTGATATTCATGTTAGGGGTATATATTTGATCTTTATTGTTTAGTGACATGCTAGGGTTTGTTATTAATCTTGTTAGTATCATGCCTAGGATCTTGCTATTATTATGCTTTAACATGATTTATAATTATTATTATGATTATTGTTGCAATTATTATTATGTTGCTTGATATTTATTTTTATTGCTTGATCACACCTTTTATGCATGTTTAAAGGGAATTGGTACTTGTAATCACGCTTAATAAGATAATTAATAATCTTGTTTAGGGTTAATATGATTATAATTCAAGTGATCGCCAATAATAGATTTATTTGTGCATTAATATTCAACCAACATAGATAAACAGGTTTAGGGTTAAACCTATTGATTGCATGTTAGTCAGAAAGCGCACATGAATACGATCAGAATAAAGTAGAGGCCTATTATTAGGGTAGGTTTAATCTCTTTTAGGTTGGATTTGTACCTTCATCCCCGAACTACCAGTCATGGTTTCAGACCTATTGGAGTTGAAGATCTCTTAGATCGTTAAGGGGTGTAACCTTCACCTCGTGAACGGTTTACAAGTTCCTAAAACTTGTTGGCGACTCTTTTGCTCTATCTTCTTTCCCTTTAGACGCCACCGTACTTTAGTGTATGATCACAATGGGGTTCAAGCTAGGGATAATGCTTGAAATATTCCCTACACCCATGCCTCCTTTCGGAAACATCAATAAACATCCAACGACCACGGGCGCAACTCCGTGAGCGTAGTTAGTATGAGATCTCACCTAACTCCTAGTTTAAAAAAATATAATATTTGAAATAGGAGACTCGTAGATTAGACGGCCTAGATAAAAGTACACGGCTAATACCCCATGTACCCCAACCCCTGATTGTCATTACTCTAGATGTGCACCAATCCAGAGCTTTATTGCTCATCCATCTTGCACTTTACGTGATTTACAGGTTTAGACTTGGTGATGACTCATATACATTACAATACAAACATTCCAAACACAATTCAATCAAACAAGGCATTTTCCCAATTTAAATTCTTGATTTATTAGTGACAAACAACATTTATTATTTATTCCTTTACTACTTCGGTGTATAAACACCTTGAGTGCATAAGGCACCCCAAAACCTTAACCTCGTCTTATTAGACTTGAATTCTTCCTTTACTCATCCTATTTCAATAATCATGAATGAGTAATAAATAAATCATCTCACATATTCACATACCGTTGCCTCTAAGCGCATCTTGCAAAGTTAATGCATAAATAATATTTGCAAAGTAAAACAGTGCACGTCATACGGAAATCACAATGTATAACCAAACAATTATTCCCTTTCTTCTCTATACATGATACTAAGTTCTTGTTTCATTCCTAAACATGCTTCCTAAGGCAAGGTTTCGTAACTCGTACGTACCTTAAGTAAACGAATTGTTTGGCCACTTTACCAACTAGAAATCACCTTATATAAAGTCCTCTCCTAAACCAAACAACAATAATTCAACCAATACCCAAGTGATTAAATTTACAGCAA